AACCCCCGCCGTGCCCAGGGCAGCCCGGCTGCGGGGGAGCAGCCCTGCGCCCTCCGCGGCCGCTCTCGGGTATTTGCCCCGGGCGCTGGGTTGTGAGGGCAGGGGGTCCCTTGTTCCCTCCAAGGGAGCCTTTGCCCAAGGGCATTCTGCAGCGGGGAGCGGGGTGTACGTGTCGTCTTAATTTTTAGCGCAGCTCTTGATTTCAAAGCAGGCTTGCTGGAGCCCAGTTACCTGTTGGCAGTGGTCTGTCTTGAATGTATTTGGATGTAGTACTGAAGTACTTATTTCGAATAAACGTTTTCATTTGGGTTTTGACTGATCTGTTGCCAGTTGGTTCTACTATGTCTCCTCTTTGCGATGATGTAAATCCAAAGAATGACTGCTGTGTTACCCTAAGAGTGCACAAGCCTGAAAGTTAGCCCCAAGTCTGTGTCTCTGTTACAAGCCCATGTGAATGTTGTGGGTTGCCTTTCCTCGTTCTGAACCTTCTTCTATGCTTCTGGGGCTTTGTGGGGCATGCAGTCACTAGAGGGACTCACTTAAGGCTTCCTGAAGTCTCCTGGGAAACCTTGCAGGCTTTTCTGAGCTCCAGGCTTGATTTGTCTTTGGCCTTTCAGTTAGCACCCTTCTAAATTGGAAGGAAGAATTGCAAAAACTTTTATGTGAATGAGGAGACACAGTTTTACTTACAGAAGCAATCTGTGAACTCGGGAAGTCTTGTTGCTGGAGTTTAGGTTGCAAAGTGCTCTTTGGAAACCAGAATCAAATTTTGTAGAAGGTAGGGTTTGCTGCTAGTATGGAATTAGTTCTCCCTCCCTGCCTCAAATGTTTGGAGGAAGAGTAACGAGTGCTGTTTGTTGGTGTTATGTGCTGTAGATCTTCATGTCCTACAACATTAACTTGTATCCCAGAATCTATCCTGATTATATAGGAAAAGAGAATTCAATTTTGTATATCTTATGACAGCTCTTATTTGTACGCTTATGGGCTGAGATTCAGGGGAGAATGTATTTAAATAAAAGCAAACCATTTCAGGTAGAAAGCTCAGGGAAGAACAAGCTCTGTTGCATCAGTTTCTCATTTCAGAGACCTACAGCTTCAGCCTTGGTTGGATAGTGTTTTCTGGTTCAAGTTGATCCCAGCAGTAATCTATGGATCCCAGCAGTGACTAGCAGATTGGGTTTTGTACCCTGTAAATTGGAAGACCTTGTGTTTAGTTTCCTCAGAGCAGTGATGTATCTCTTTTTAGCAAAGCAGCCAGTATACCATAGGTTGCTCTGAATGTTTTGCTGATGATTTTCTGTATATTTCCAGAGCCATGGAGGACTTGGAAGATAATACTACTGTCTTTTCCACCCTGAGATCCCTCAACAACTTTATTTCACAGCGTATGGAGGGGGTGTCTGGGCTGGCTACACCAGGATCGTCTCAAAGTTCCTTACAGATTCAGTACCAGCAGAGGGTGCAGGTGAGGTGTCCTCAGCTTGGTGATGCCTGCAGTATCACTTCAGTGTGGTTGTAGACTCCTTTTGATTCCAGGAATCGGGACTGATTTTATTAAGATCTGACCATTCTTTCAAAAATTGATATTCATGCAAGCTCAATAATGGAACTTGCTTTTGGTGAACATTCTAGAATCTTTAATTTTTTTTTGAAGTGTCAGACATGTTTATTTCTGTTTTGTAAAAATTTAAGAAAGGTCCTTTGAATTTCTTCCCTGCTTGTTATATCTGTATACCAGCTCAGGAAATTAAATTGTAAGTTGTTTTCATATTGCTGAACAAGGGAGCTTTATATCTGTTAATATTTTTCTAGTAAGTCATTTGTCACCTTTTTTCACAATCTTCCTTAAAGTTTCTTTGCTGGACACATACAGAGACTTGCATTGTGCTGTAGCTTTGATGTGCTAACCAGTTGTGCTTTCTTCTCCGCTTCTGTTTGTATCCATGTGGGTTTTTTGACTTTTTCCTGTAAGCTGCATTAGGCTCATAAAGCATGCAGTAAGTTGACATCTTGAGTCATAAGGACTGTTTATTAGGCTGGAATAAAGTTTCTGTATCCTGTGTCTTAATATAATTTCTATTTAAATCTCTAAGTATAAAATAAGCTTGCTTTCTTTTTAATGTAAATCTGCTTTTCATTTGGAATGTTGACAAAAATTTATGCATTTTCTGTCTGTGGTACATCTCTGGTTACAGAGATGGTTAAAGGAGGCTCTCTCTGGTTAGAGAGTCTTCGTTAGTTATGTGTTGAATGTACATTGCTTAGATGTGAGGTATTCTATTAATATTGTCTGTGCTTTAAGGTAATTTGAATGAAAAAATGAAGCATAATGTTGTAGCAGGTAGTAGAAAAACATGTTATTTTGCTTAGCAGTTAAATTTCATGGGGAGCGTGATCTTGGTTAGCTGCTGTTACTTTTATGAGGCTTGGAGAGTTTGTAATTAACCTTTTTTTAGATAGAGAAGTACATTTTGTCGGAGTACCTCTAGAGATTGAATGAGAAATTCTGAACTAAGAACTTGAAATTCACTTCTTTCCAACTAACATTGATTTGATGTTGGTTTCTGAGTGTATTGTTGAACTCTTGGTTTCCCCATCTGCAGTTGGTGTGAGAAGTACCACAAACATGGTGATAGTTTCCTTGTAATTTGTAAAATGGCATTCAAGTGTCATCTACATAGTACAGGGTGGGAGATAATGATGTTATTGCAGTGCTGTTAATGGTGTGTAATGTCCCTTTTCACACATGAACTGGCCAGTTGGAAGAACAAGCTGGGCAGATCCACTCCAAATCCCAGCTCCTGCAGGTGGAACGAGAGAAGATGCAGATGGAGCTTAGTCACAAACGAGCTCGCATAGAGCTAGAGAAGGCAGCTAATACCAATGCCAGAAACTATGAGGTAAGTATGACAGTTGCAGATGGCTTGATATCATAGGCCTAAGTCAGAACACATGCAGTTTGGATCAGGGATATGCTCTTGACTTCTCACGTGCCATGCTTTGGTTTGCAGTGGTGTGTCTCAGAATGTGTATAGTTGACTTTTTTGGATGAAGCTAAACTGAAAGATGCAGTCCAGGAGCAAGCCTTCTGTTCTCCAACTGCTGATGGACACTCTGTCTTCAGAGCAAGACTTCAGCGAATCTGTAGTAAATGCTCCTGGAATGCATTTACTGCGTTTGCATTTACTGCAAATGTGATGGTGGTGGGGGTGTCAAGTTCCCAGCGCCAACTGTTTTGCTCTACAGATCCTCTCGCAGTGCATTGCACTAAATTGCTAATGTACACAAGAGTGTGAACGTCAAAGCCTTGTTTGGTTGACAAACTGATGATCTCATCACTAGATTCTGTTAGTTTAGCACTGAAGTTGTCATGAGTAGCAATAACAAAAGGGATTTGTTATTTGTTTCTCCCAGAAGTATTTAAGCATTTTTCTCCCACATGAATTTAAACTCCTGCTGGCACAATTGCAAGCATTTAGTTTGTGTGACTGTAATTAATTGGAATGACAGCAGTGCCAACCATGCACTGTCACACAAGAGAGCTTGCACTGATAAAACAGCCTCACTTGGGGCCTAATAGCTTTTATTGGTTTCTGGTTTTATGCCCGTATATGTTTGTTTAACTACATTACTGAAATAAGTAGTAGATCTGTGGGTTTTATAGGATAATAAAGGTCTTGTATGCGGCTGATTATTTAAAAAGAAATCTTTAAAAAATAATAAGCATGTTTTATTTTACAAGGGTGCTGGGTGACAGGTTTAGTGTGTAGTTGTGAAATAGCAAGTCAGTGAGTAAATTCCTCGTTCGTCTGAAGTCAGGTGATATGGAATTAAGCCATGAAGAGTTCAAACTGGAATGTAGCTGAGTCAGTCACAGAAACTCTTGAAATACTGGTACAAAAAAAAAGGGAGCAGCACTAATCCAGCACTGTGGTAATTACCCTGCTCAGATTCTGTGGGTTTTTTTGAGTCATGTGGATAAAGGTTTTAGGAACCTCACATTGCTTTGCATAATCCTTGCTTACTATGTAAATCCGTGTCTCGATTTGCTTTGATTAGCAAAGCAATTTACTACACATTTTTTCAATAACTGTTAATCAATTTGTGGTAGGAATAAACTGAAATGGTGTATGAACGGTTGTCAGAGTGCAAAAATATTTATTGTATTCATTGATAATACTGTGCATTTAAACCCCATTTCTTTGCTATTAAATAGCCTCATACAATTTCCAGAAGTTGCAGAGGGAAGTTTGTCTTATTAACCCAACTGTTGAGATCTGAGTTTCTGAAAGTCAATTTGCTATGCATGGGTCAGTTTTAACTTGGAGCATCAGATGTTTTCATCTTTGATCTGCTGGAGACTGTGCAGTGGAGTCTATGAAGCCATGTCTGTATTCTCATGTTCATGTCTCAGTCCAAGAGATTTGGAAGACTGTCTCTTAATTTTCTAGCTCCATTGCCTCCATTGTTCCTTGACATTGAGTTGCTGCTGGGAAGATTTTTGCCCTTGCTAGTGCAAAGGTTAAAGCTATGGTCTGAGTAACATTGCTTCATGATGATACCTTGGTGACCACAGTAATGAAGAACAAAAATGGTTTCACCTTTGTGCTACTTCCTTCTTATGTCTCCTTGCATTTTTTTCCTTCACAAGCGAGAGGCTGATCGTAACCAGGAGCTGCTCACACGCATAAAGCAATATCAGGAAAGGGAAACAGAAGCTGAAAATAAACTGAAAGAACAAATGGAGATGAACAAATCCTATAAGAAGAGCATGGAGACAATGAGTAAGAAGCTGCAAGAGAAGGAAAGCAAATTAGCTGAAGCTAATGAAGTAAGAACAGAGTAATTTTTTAATCCATTCTTAGCTTCAGGTGACTTTGCAGTTCTTGTGAATTGAAAATGCCCCTTCTGATTTATAAAAAATATACAAAATTGGAATCACTATGTTCATCACCTGGAAATGAATAAACCCTGGTGGTGTGTTTTTGCTGTCAAAGTTTAGAACCTAACCAAGTCCAGACACAAGTGAGCAAGCAGGTCAGAAGATATTGCTGTGTTAATTAACAATGAGAAGAGATTTCTTAGACAGGTTGATATGGAGGAGGAAAACAAGTGCAAGGAAACTTACAGCATCTAAGTTTAGAAGTCAGGTTACATGACGTTGAGTAAAGAAAGGGGAAATGATGGAGGAGATAAGATGGGAAAGTGTTCAGGGAAGTAGGGGGAACTGTAGAGTGGATGAGACCAAAGTTATGTACAAAGTCTGTCTTCCCAAAGTGTCTTAAACGCCTATGTGTTCCACTGTAGAATGAACGCTTGGATAATAATTTCAGTTCTTTTGGATGAACAGACCATCTTCTCAACCTTCAACCTTTTCAGATATCATTATAGTTAAGTTCAGCTAGTTCATTTGTAACTTTTCTGTTCGATTTTGTTTCCTGCACCAGTTGTGGATCAACAACCACTAAGTCCTTAAGTCTTCCTCTTGTGTAAGTGTTTCCTCCTGCCTAGGTGTCACTGGAAATGTATCTATGTGATAGAGCAGGTAACAGATTGAATGTGCCAGTTATCAGTGATTAAAAATAGGGAGACAGTCATGGCATATGAGAGAAACTAAACCCATATATGAAATATGTGCAGCAGTTCTATTTCTGTATTCTTTTTATTCCCATATCCATCAGTATCAAGATGAGAACCCTACATGTCTCTCTAGAAAACACCCTACTTATGTAATGTTTTGAGATTTTTCTCTTTTTCTTTGCTAAAGGGAGCTGAGTAATGCCTATTTGAAACAAACCTGTGAGTTTTTTGTTGGAGTTAAGACATTTAGAAAAAAATTTTAAAAATCACTGGCCTCTACTTTTAAGGAAAGCATAATACTTCTGGCAGTTGGTTGAGGCAAACCCAGACATTTTCAATTTTGAAACCCAGACAAAATATATTTGGAATGGTTGTGGGATTTTTTTTTTTACTTTAATATATGTATACTTGTGTTTTATCATCATCTAGCTTTGAAGCTTGGTATTTTTCATGCCAGTTTGAGGTCACCCACTTAATAGGTAATGGAAATGACAATTTGGGTCACAGATGGAAGCGACTAAATGATTTTCTCATGCCTTTGTTTTTTGAGGTGAGTTTGCAGGTCTGAAGGTTTGTAGGAGTGTGGGATTGTTTCTAGATTCAGTGTTTGTACTTTTTAGTTGGATATGATTTCTGTCTGTCACCATCCATAACGTCCAGCTTGGAGAGCCATAGCCTTGTGTGTTTATTCTTTCTTTCCATTAATTCAGACAATCACTGTATTAAAAGGGAAAATATCAGAGCTGCAATGGAATATAATGAATCAAGAGATGCAGATGACAAGCCAAGACTCTCAGAAGCAGGAACTGATGGAACAGCTGGATGTTCAACATAAGTAAGCAGGGGATGAATAACTGTAGGGAGAAAAAGGCAAACAAAACTTCAGTCTTCTGCAGCTGTCGTCACTCAGAAAACCTTCAACAGTGTTTGATTTCCACTCTTCAAAGGGATTCTTTGATCTGGATGTGCAGGTTATAACCGTTGTTTGAAACTAGCTCTGAGGTGCAATTTAATTGTACCTTGAGCAAAAAAACACTTGGCGTCTCAGCGATGTCTCATGTTCATGGTAGAGTTAACAGAAGGCATGTGGGTGGGAAAGGCTAATCTGAACTTTATAGATTAAACAGAACAAAAATATCAAGCCTCAAATCATAGTTGAGGGGTAGTTGGAAGATGTGAGTGTGTTTTTCCTTGCTTACTAAGTTCAACTCTTCAATTTCAAAGGTGTTTATTTACTGTAAGTGTGTATTTGTTGGTTTCAGAGTTAGGATGGCTTGATTTTGGGGTATTTCTCAAGTTGCATCTTTTTGTTAAAATGGGTATTTTTGTCTCTAAATTAGAGGGAGATGGTATGAGTGTGAAACTGAGAGAGACAATCTTCTATAACAGTACCATATACCTTGTTAGTGGTGTTTGAAAATGTTTGTCAGAGATACTTCTGCATGTAGGTTGTTTCTGGTACGTGATTCCTGAGTGCTGAATGCCTCTTGTGTCTACATCTAATAGAAAATGGCAAGAGGCTAATCAGCAAATCCAGACGTTGCAAGCAAGCCAATCCCTACTGGCAGAATACGAACAGAAGATTAAGGTAAGAAACTTTGTGGCCTGTATAAAGCTTTAGTTTTTAATTTCTTCCATGGAAGAACAGAACAGTGTTTTTTAAAAAAATGACTATTGCAGAAATAAAAGGTTAGTTTATCATGTAAGAATCTCACCTGTTGGCCACCAAGAGCTGAAGTTGGCTAAATTCAATTGGATGGACCAGGCTACCTACAACTACCTGTAACATGATACTCTTCACCTTTGTTGTATCAATTGATTGGTAAAAAAAATCCACCTATATAGAAAAGTGATTTATATCTTTATGCAGTGATCTGGAGGAATGCTCTGTTTGACCGTGTGCCAAAGCTCAAGATTGCTCTGCAAAAGATTGCTTCTAGAGCAATCTTTTTTCAAATGGTGGAGGATGAACCTAGCAGCTAGAGTTACTTTTCTGCTTCCTAGAAAATCCTCTTCTGGAGTTGGGTTTAGCTCTTTTAGAAAGTTCAATTACTTGCAAAGCTTTTGAAACAACACTGACTTAAATGTGAGTATAGAGATGCTTTATGTCCTTTCAAATGAACATGTAGGTTGATGGGAGTGTATCTTTTTCACTTGTCTTGTATTCCTAGAAGAGGTAGATGTGGAAAGTTACTTTTGTTTGAGCAGGTGCTGATAGTGGCATTGCCTGTGGTTGCTGTAAAGTAAAGTTACACTGAATGCCAGCCTCACTGCCAGTTCTGCAATTGCAAGAAGAGACTTCCTCCATTGAAGGGAAAGGTTGGGAAACAGGATATCAGACTGCAATACAGCTCTAAATAAACTCTTCTTTTTTCTTTTTTTTTTTTTTTTTTTTTTAGGAAAAGAAAGCAACATTTGCTAAAATGCACAGTTGTGTTTCTTTTCCTTCCCAATTCTTGCAGGCCATCCAAGTGCCCCTCTCTATGCTTCATTGATGGAGGGATAGAGGACAAGAAAATAACAGATTTGGTTTAGTCAATAGAAGAAGGTCCTTTTAATGGTTAGCAGAGATCTTTTTTTGTTACGAACTTAGGGTAAACAGGTGTAGAGAAGAGGCCAGTCCAGGCGTTACAAGTGGAACAAGAGTCATCCCTACTTTGAGTAATGGATTGGACCAGATGACCTACTGAGTTCCCTTCCAAGGAACTTCAATTCCCTTCATTCAAGTCATTGATTTGAGTTTAAAAAGTAGAATGGAGAAGTAGCTCTTATGAGTTCCAAGTTAATCATTGCTGTCCTCTTGTCATCCCATGTTTTCCAGGATCTGGAACAGAAGTTCTCCCAGCAGGAACATGATGCTCTAATTGTCAAGAATATGAAGGCAGAACTGGCCCGTTTCCCAAAAATGGAGCGGGAATTGCGCCAACTCAGGGAGGAAAATGCGTACTTCAGGTGAAAGAAGGGTTCAGTTGTTGAGAGGGTTATCTTGTGTTCTTCTACAGTTGCACTAGATGCGCTTCAAATTCCTCTGTTTGGCTTCCATATGGGAAACTTTAGAAGGAAGTTTAAATATTTCATATAAATACTGCATATGAATTGAGCAGTGTTGTGATGGTTACTAGATGAGAGGATTTGACAAGATCTGGGTAATCTTCCTGAACACAACGAGAGCCTCACAGAATGCGTATTGATCTTTCTGGATGGTAATATCTGTTTGTTAGAACAAAATTCAATGTTTAAAGATAGTGATGAACTCTACACAGCTTTGGGAAAGAAATCCCTGTAGCGAGAAGAGACAGCTGAACATTTCTTTAATAGCTGTTTTAGCTTAGTTATTGTTACCATTATTTTAAAGGCCTGTTGTTCCAGCATAATGTTTGGAAAGTCTTTTGTTTAAATTTCTAAAGCACTCTGATACAGCCCTTGGTGGAGTAGACTTTCTGGGTTTCTGAAGTGCCAATTAATTTGAAAAATTAAATTCCTATTTACTGTGAAATAACTTGCCTTAAAGACTTTTTTTTTTTTTAGAGTAAACTTAATTTCCATCTTTCGGTGCATCTTAAAAAAAAAAAAAAAGAAACGAAAAAAAAGCCTAAATTACATGAGTGATCTTGCCAGCTTTTTCTTATTCTAAAATTAAGTAATTTCCCTTGGCTTTGTTCTTGTTATTGTTTCATTATCATTTTAAATTGTTTATCTTGGAATCTTTTCTCATGCTTGTTTTTTGTGCACAGAAACATGATATCAACAGATTAAAGGTAATATTTTTAAAACCAGTTGTATCTCACCCTTGCACACACCTCTACTGAAGTAAAACCAAGCAGTCCCAATGCTTGCTCAGTCATCACAGAGTACTCAAAAAGCCAGTGTGTCTACTGCTTGCTGTGTTCCAACCCTGCATTCAGCCTGGCTGAAGATCAGAGTTGGGAGTCTTTTGCTACCCTTCATGCTGTTTTGCCAATCAGTAAAGCAGATACAATACATCAGGTTGTTTGGACGTAATTAGAATGACACTTTAGAGTAGAAAGAAATCAGTTCAATAAAGCTGCGGGTTTTTTTGTAGCAGTGGCTTTGCAGTGAAGATTATAGAAGTCAGTTGAATATCATAATGTCTGTTCAACGTCATATGATTCCCTTGTAATTCCATGTGTATCTGGAAGTTTGTGAGAATGAATTGAGTTGCATGGCTCTTTAATCGTTGTCTCTCTTTTCACCATAGGGAAATGAAAGAAAACAATGGATTGCTTAAAGAGGAGGTAGAAGGTCTCCAAAGAAAACTGGAACGCTATGAGAAAGTCCAAGCACAGCTAGTGACCATTGAATTGGAAAATGAGGTGAGGAGCTAGGAACATTTGGTGTATGAGCAGAATAGGGATTTCCTTTGTTACCTGTCCTGTCTTTTAGGCTCTTCCTGTATTGTATTGAGATATGATACGTGGTTTAATTAGTGGGTTTGAACCAGGGATTCCCAAACTTAAATGTCAGCATGAGGGGAGCTATAGCAGTGAAGGTGAAAAAGGCAAAAGGATATCTACTGTTCAGCTGGAGATTTTGTGTAAAGAACAATCTCATCATAGTGTCTCTTTTGGCCTTGCCGTTTCTCTTTTACCTTTCTTCTGCTGGAAATGCTTTTTTTGGCATTAAGCTCTGCCCAGACATGGTGTTGCCAAACAGGCATGTGGTAAGAACCTTGATACACACTTGGATTGCTGCCAGTGCTAGCAGGGCCAGAATGTGGTCTCAGATGAATAAAGTTGTCTTGCTTCCATCCAACCCTATATCAAGCATACAGTGAATTGTCAAGAGATTAACCTAATTGTGTAAACTTGTTGATCTGCAGAACTATACTGGTGTCTGATCAGGTTTAGGTAATACTATCTGGTATTGACTGAAAGTAAAAAGCTATAGGAGAAACTGGAAGAGGAGAAATGGGCACTTCAGCTGCTACAGAACTGGTGTTGAGAATACAGCTTGTTTTCTTCTCCAAGAAGGAAGAGACCAGAGCTGCCAAGAGACCAGTCTACCAAGGCCTAGTATAGTGATGGTAGCTCACAGGGTTAGATAATATATAGTGCTGAAGCATAACATGGGTTCTGTGTGTCATAGAGCTGTGGTGACGGGGAAAATGTTTGTGAGGGCTGGAGAATGACAAACCAAAAGTGCTAGATAAGAAGAATAACGAAATCCACAGGAGGAAAAGGAAAGACACTGACTTTGAATGGAGGATCATGAGAAAACTGTGGAAAATGAGCTGTTAGAACATTTGTCTGTGTCTCTCACTCTTCTTTTGATCTCTACTTTAGAAACTTCTGGGAAGATTAAAAAGCTGGGAGAAACTGGACCAGAGCACTGGCTTGAATATCAGGTATGTGCTCACAGTTCTGGAGGGAGGTAAAACTTTTAAACCACTTTCCTTTCCTCTTAATCATCTGGTCTCTGAACTGTGTTGGTCATGCTTTCTTGCTATCTCTTCTTCATGTGGAAGCTCTTCCAGTACTTTTTATTATATATGAGAAGAACCATAAGATACACACTGTCACAAAGTATTTTTGGGAATGAACAAATGTTTTTCACCAAGTCAGCTTGACCAATGTCTCTGAGGCCGAGGTTCAATTTTGAGTTCTTTGAAGTTCTTGAATATAGCTACATTCGTGTTTGTTTAGAGATTCTGCTAGCTTAATGAGCGAACTTCTAAGAATTTTAGGATATGTCCAGAGAAGAGAATGTATGTTACTTGTGACAAATTGTTGTAAATATGATTTCTTTGAAATCTGGATATCAAAATAAACTGCCAGATCATGTTGTTGTGACTTTTCTTCCCTAAAGCAGCTGAAGAAGAGTTGTTAATTTAGTTATTTTGTCTAACAAGAGAAATGGAATAAACTCAGTTTCTTATAAAAGGGGGGAAAACCTCCAACCCCTAAAGGTGTTTTGTAACACCAGCTAGTCTCTTTGTGTACTGTTACTTAACAACTCTGACATCTGGAGCATTGAGCCAGATTTTTTAAGGTCTCTGGTATGTATGTGGTGTAAAGAGGGGCTGGAAATGGTGCATTTTCTGATAATTTTCTTCCACTGCAGAAGGTTTTCTGTGTAGCTACGATGCTTTTGTGTTGTCATATGTTTCAGCACTGCTTTATTTTCTCTAAATATTTACATTGTTGTTACACTAGAAGGAGAGATGCTTCTTTGTAAATAACTGTCTTGATATGCGCATTATAGTACAGATCACCTTTCATATTGGATCAAGGCCTGAGCTGCAACATGAACCACAGAATCCAATTTTGCCAATTGTTTCTTTATTCCATTCATTACACGTGCCCAACAACAGAGCTCTATCTGCACACTGGGATTGTTTGGAAGTAGGAGCGTTTGGATATGCACATATGGTTTGGGCACATTACTGCTTCAAGTGAAAGATACTTGGATTCAACTTGGGAAAGCCCCCTTAATTTTCTCAGTGTTCTCTGTTTAATGAGGATAGTGAACCTTTTTCTAGAGGCGTGCTGGTAGGTAGCATGCTCGAGATTCTCTCCTGCATCTGCTGAGGATACATACATTTAGATGAAGTTAGAATTGTGCTAAATCTCCTATGGTAAGGAATGGGCAGAAATAGTATGAATCCTTTTTACAAAACCTGTTCTGTCAGACGGTGGAGTAAAAGCTTTTTACTTACCTCAAGCTGTTAAAGGTTTAATGAGGTAATTTCACAGTGGGAGAGAAATGGAACCAAGTGATTCTGCCTGTTGAAGTCTAATAGCTCCTTCATTTAAAATCAGAATATTCGCTGTAAAGTGTTAGGTTTTTTGATTGGGCCATATTGTTTAGTGCTATTAATGGCGTCTTCTCATACAGAAAAGGGAATTGCTCTTGAGAAAAATCATCTTTTGCATGCAATTGTAGCAAGTGGAACTGGATGATTTCCCCCTCTGTGTTTTTTTTTTTTCTTTCCTTTTTTTATTGCTCAGATTTCTTACCGCATGAATTAAGTTAATTTTTGGTCAGGGTTATGAAGATGATGAGAGGTCATTGTCCTAGTTAGGTTCCTGTTCCTGTTAGGAGTATGGTGTTGGTGAAAGTTTGAGAAGAGTTAATTGCCCATCTCGTAGTAAAAGAAAATAGGAACAGGTTGGATGGTTGTCCCAAAGAGCCAGAGCAATGTGCTGTTTGCTAATAACTAGATAAGCAAGGAAAAAGGGAATGCGTTAGGATTTCTCATCTTTTCTTATCACATTCTTCATTGGTACAGAGAATGTAAGGGAAGCGTGTACAGCGTGTGGCGTTTTAGGAGAGGATGGTTTTTCATTTCCTCCAGTACCTCCGTGGGGCTTGTTCTGTGTCTGCTCTCGGTGGTTTCTGTTCACGGATTGCCTGGTCCCAGCAGGCTTTTTGTCAGATCAGCTTACGATCAGACCTTCGAGTGTAATTCTATGTAATAATACTTGGAAAGGAGGTGCAGCTTTCAGGAGCGTAGTGGTAATCCTACTGGTTTTAGTACTGGTCTCTTTTTGGTAACAATGAAAGAGCCAAGTGTTTATAATGCTTCACCTTTTGGAGGGGAAAACAATTTCATTAACAGTTTACTCAAAGGCTAATCTTATGTTTGCTAGTTCTGGATTCCACTTGTAAGCTCCTGGGTTTTCCTCTTGCTCTCATAAAGTATGGAAACAAAGACAGCTTTAGCTCTAGAGCATGTTGGTGTGTTGGCATTGCTGTTGTGCAGTGTTTGTTCCAGAATTTGCCCTTGGAATTACGCCTGCCTTAAACGTTATATGATATAGTTGCAAGCTGCACAATACCCAGATAATAAAATAATACATACCGTAGTTATGTATGGTTCAAGTATACACATTATGAATCTACATAATCCTTTTTGTGTTCATTTATATGTTCTTTTGATATCTTGATCCTCTTACTGCCTACTTTCCAGTATAGTTGGCTCTGTCTTTTATCGTGGATGTAATTTTGTCATGTAGGTCTTTTTTGTATGTTACTGTTAAGCTGCCAGGGATTTTCTTACATTTGTCATGTGTTTCCCTGACTTGATATTGCTGCAGCAGGATTTGGTTTCAACTGTAAAAGGAAAAAACACTTAAATTTTGAAATTCTTGCTTCGTGAGTAGAAAGTAGTAGAGATTTTGGAGTTTACTCTCTTTGAGAAGGATATTAATGTATGGCTATTGTAGGACTTTGTTATTAGGAAAGAGTTGTGTTGAGAAAAGCTTCTTGTACTCTGTCTCTCCAGGATGTGTTGATGTAGTTTGTATTTCTTCAAAATCCAGTATTTGTGTAATTGAGTTGTTGACCATCTTCACTGAAGAACCATGTTAATCATGACAGACATGGTTGTTTTTTTCAGAGTTGGACTATTAGCTTAGAGATATTTTCCTGGTACTTTCTTGACTGCCATTAAACAACATGTGTTTTAATAGAAAAATATTTCTGGAAGGTTGTGTGTGAGAGAAGGCGGGTGCTTTATTTGGGTGACAGTGGGCAAAACCGTCCACGAGATGGCATCCTTTCTCCTGCTGCTGGAGAAAACTGGTTTTCTTCTCCAGTGTGGCAGGCTCAGCCTGATCTAAAAACTTACAGCTGAGCACCTTGAGAAGGGTCAGCTAGTCTAAGGAGAATTGTTCATTGTTGCTATCAAATCTTCTAAAATCTGTTTAATGCTATATGCGTGTGATCACTGTCTGCTTGTCCAGTACTTAGGGTAGTAACTTGGTATGAAAAAGATCTGTGCATATTTCTCTAATGGCATACAGAGTAGAGTGTTTTTCCAACCAGCTCTGTAAACTTCATATTTACACCATGCATTCTTCATTTTGTCTTGTTTAATAGGAGTTCTTCAAAGTTGTTTTCTCCCCACCCCAAGCCTTAAAATTGCATCTGCTAGAGCAGCACTGTTATTGTTCTGCCTTTCCCTTCTGCAGCATGTAGAAGATACCCAAATGAAAAATGAGGGTTCTTCTGTGAGCTTTTAATCTAAATAAGCCTTTTTTGCTGCTGCTTGTCTATGTTTGGCTGGTATTGCCTTTGTCCTCTAATGAATTAGCCAGGTGATTTTGCTATCCATAAACAGATACACCCTTGAGTACAGAATGATGCAAAATGATGTGTATCACGAATGTTTTAAAGATGAGGCAGTTAGGAAGTCGGATACTGAAGATTCCGATAGCCATTGATAGCAGCTGACAAGGGTTAATGCTGAATTTATCTTTGTATTTATCCATAAGTGGCAGAAGATTGCAAGTTTTGAAAGGTTGAAGTTTTGCTGAAAAGTTATGGAAATTTGTGAAGACTGACAGGTGGACCACAAGCAATGGCTTCAGAGGAGTTTTAGTCCAAGCATTTTTTTTTTTTTTTGAGAGAATAAATAGTGATTGGGGGGGATGGTGCATGTGTGGGTGGGTGTGCTGTGGGGGGGGGTGCTGTGGGTGGGGGTGCTGTGGGTGGGGCGCGCGTGTGTGTGTGTGTTTGGGGGGGGTGTGTGCGCGTGTGTGTTTGGAAGTAATGACTATATGAAGTCTTTATGTTTTCACGTGCTAGGCTCAAAGATCTTATTTTTATATCAGTGATAGATTTTTGATGTTAGAGTAATCAAGGATTGGAAGGCGATCAAATATTCAAATAAGACCTATTTAAGTAGGTCTTTCCTTTTTGGGGCACCATTTTCTGTTGCAAATAGTACCGTCAACTCAGGCTCGGTGTTTGTGTGTGGAAGATAAAGCAAAAGACTTTGTTCATGTTACTTTTCAGAATCATTTTGCTTTTTTTCATGCCCATAACAGGGAAGCAATGGAGAGATCAGCTGTCCTTTTCTGAAGGGCCATGGAATACAGTATGGAAATTAAAGACGAGGCTGACGTATCAGGAAGAAAAGTAGTGTGCTTGGACTCTTCTGTGTTGCTCAGAGGCTTCCAGTCATGGTCTTGGACATTCTTAAGTTGCATCTAATTGCGGTTATATTGGAAGGCAGGTCTCAGCCCCTGATGCCGATGGTGTAAGGCTGACCTGGAGGGACTCTTAGGTTTAATGAAGCACGGGTTTGGAGAGTACTATAGTCATCCTTCAATTTGGAGGGGTGAATTTAGTTGGATTCAGTGGTGATATCGCATTAAGCTGCTATAGCTGTTTCGCATGCTTGCTGTCCAGATCTGAAAAGAGAAATGCAGATTTGACAGGAATTCAGGCCAATGCTTAAGGACCATTTTCACTTAGTGGAGCCTGCCAGCTGCAGGCTGCAGACACTGATCTGCTGACCTGTCGCCTAGAGCCAAAGAAGTGAACCTGTTAATGCTGACCTGGTTTTCTTTCTGAAACATCTGTGGGCTGGCTAGCTGACAAATCTTGGGGACTAGCTTC